ATGGGCCAGGGCGTGGACTAAAAGACCTCCAAGGTCTCCTCACAAAGTCTCTTCTTATACCCTCTCCTGAGAGGAGACAAGCCACAACCACCTGGGCTTGATTATCTCTTATGAGTCTGTCTCCATAACTGCTGCCTCTGTTTCTCCACCATTCTTTGCCTGACGTCAGGGACAAATTTCCTTTGATCTTCCCCACTGCTCCAGTGCCTCAGGCGCCTCCTGGTGGCCAACCAGCTTCTCTGCTCCCTGCTCAGCAATCTCTGACAGGGGACAAAATGCGCCATTTTGGTGAGCATGTCCACCACCACGAGGACCATGGTAAACCCCGAAGACAGAGGCAGTTCCGTCAGAAAGTCCATGGACATGGCTCCCCAGGGTCTGCCCGGGGTCAGCAATGGCTAAAGCAGGCCTGGAGAAGCCCACTTAATGGCAATTATCATGGTACACATGGGTTGTCTGCACACAAGGGTTGGTTGTCTAAAAGGGTGGGGAGGGAACCTTACCATCCAAGTCCAACTATTCAAAGGATGTTTTAAAGAATATTGCTGAAACTTCTGAATTCTTAAATACAAGATTTTAAGGAAGTCAAAAGGTAGTAAAAATGATCAGACAAATATGTTCTGCAATTTTAAATTATGTCTCATTCATTGATTGATTGTTGCTGTTGACTTCTGTTCTATTCAGGAATGGTATCCTGAAGCTGCTTCGAATGCAGAACGTTGGGCGTATCAGTGTATTTATGATCACAGTTCAGACGATTCAAGAATTCTTGGTAAGTCAATCTAAAGGCATAATATAACTTTAACTGGTTACCACATTAAATAGCATTTACAATAACACTTGTTCTTCAATAGTAGCAGGAAAAGTAATATTTATGAATCTCTCCCATGTAAATGATTGGTAGAAGGATTGCGTCAGTAATAATTTTCTTAACTTCCCCCACCCCCATGAATTTGCAAGAAAAATTGTATTTGAACAATGATTTTTTCATTTATTTCTTATATTGTACATTACTACATTTATGGCCCACCATCCCCCCAAAATGCTAAAGATATTGTCCTCACCACAGTTGTTTGTAATGGTAGATGCCAAGCCCAAATATGTTCAGAGATTTCCATAGTCAGTGGAGAATTAAACCTGAATCTCCCTAATCTCAATACCATACTATGTATTAACATGGTGATGTCCCCACAAAATAAAGCATCTGGGCTCCAATTTACTTCTAAATAAACTATAATATTGTTTTTAAACACTCATTAGAAAAAAAAATTTGAACAATTAAAGGTTCTGCAAAAGTATTACAGTAAGGATTCTGGGTACAAAATTTTCCTTTCCTTTCCAATAGTTTATTAATATTTCTGGAAAGATAAGAGAAAATGCTCAGCTATGACCTTTCTGCTGTCCTTTTGCTTCTTTCAAAACATGTGTTCACCTGTGTTTTCTTGCTGTTGCTTTTTTTTTCAACCCTACCCACTTTTAGATGGAATACAATGTGGTGAAAATATATTCAAGTCAAGTAATGCCAGGACATGGGCTGAAATGATTCAGAATTGGTATGATGAATACAAAAACTTCGTATATGGCGTTGGAGCAAATCCAGCAGGTTCTGTTGTTGGTCATTATACTCAGGTAGTACTTTTTAATATCTTTGCCATATCTATGTTCACCAAGTATAAATCCACAAAAATGAGTGAGATAAAAAAAAGGTAGATTCCCTTAAATTACACTTAAGTCCATGGCTGATCCTGAATCACTAAGCTAGGCCATACCTGGTTGTTATATAGTAAAATCATGGCTTGAAGCTATACAGGAAAATTGAGAAAACATCCCACAAAAAGTTAATAGCAAAACATTTTTCTGTGCTGTGGCAAACAAAACCAAGAAACTGTGTCCTTACAATCACTAAATAATTCCGTAGACCTGAACACAGGAGGATCTTGGCTAAAAGCCATAGTCCCAGTGCATGTTAAGGAAAAGGAAGAAGTAGACTAGGTTAAAGCCAAGGTGGCGCAGTGGTTAAATGCAGCACTGCAGGCTGACTGCTAGATCAGCAGTTCAGCGGTTCAAATCTCACCGGCTCAGGGTTGACTCAGCCTTCCATCCTTCCGAGGTGGGTAAAATGAGGACCCAGATTGTTGGGGGCAATATGCTGACTCTCTGTAAACCGCTTAGAGAGGCCTGAAAGGCCTATGAAGCGGTATATAAGTCTACTGCTATTGCTATTGCTATTGCTAAATGTTGCACTATTTTGTTTTTTAAGTACTGATATGGAGTAAATGAAGGATTGCAAACATACTTAATGTGTTATTTGTTATTCACAAATAGCTGCCCATTCAGATCTTGGCTTTAATGCAGCTGGGAAGGAGGAACTAACTTGCTGGTCATAGCACTTGACACGTAGACTGCTTTGGATGTGGTGAGGCACTTTAGAAAGAGATGGTCTATAAAGTTCAGGATGAAGCAGTGTTTTTCATTTTAAAAATATGCATTAAAGGACAAAGGAAGCCTTATTTGTTCTAACATTTCTTTGCTTTGGCAAACTTTTATATGAAATGATTGGAGAAGTTCTTTGTACACTCATTGTTATTATGGTATACTGTATATACTGCAACATTCTCATGGGTTTATTTTCTTACATGCTCCTCTAAAGTCCACATTTGTTATCAATATTAAGCTTCTAGCATATTAACCTCTGTGTATATTTTTGTATCTTACAGATAGTTTGGTACAAAAGTTACCGTATTGGTTGTGCTGCTGCCTATTGTCCTTCATATCCCTACAGCTACTTCTATGTTTGTCAGTACTGCCCAGCGTATGTATCAACTATGATTTTTATGTTTGTCACATTTATGGCAGGTCTAATTAGAGTAATTCTGATTGTCCTGGGAAAAAATGAGCTTAAATCACATTTTAATCAAATATTATGTGCAATCTTACACCCAAACAAAATATTGGCCACCCTCTGATAGTGGTGATGTCTGCTCTCTCAAAACTGGAAACCAAACCAGAGAGACTAAGACAATGCAACCAAAGTCAATTATCTATTGATACAGCATGGGGTTTTCAGCAATCACAAATATAAGAGTGGTAATATATGACACCATTCTGTTCATCTTTTTCATTCCAGAGGGAACATGGAAGGTTTAACTGCTACTCCATATAAATCAGGGCCATCTTGTGCAGACTGTCCTTCGGCTTGTGACAACGGACTGTGCAGTAAGTTAAAAAGACCAATTATTAAAGCAACATTTGTAAAGGTCATGCTGTATCACCCAAGAATAGATTTCAGTTGAAGAGATAACAATATCTAGGTAGAATAACTGGCATAATGGAAGATGTCCAGCTATCCAACAAGACAAGTGGATCATTACATACATGAAGCATACTATTGTGGGATAACCAGACATCTAGAGTTGCCTCGATGGTGCTTCTAGATGCTCCCACACTAGTGGTTGATGAGCCCATGCAATTGAATCAGGATATACGAGTATGTTATCAATCCATTTCAGTTTAGGAAGAACTTAAAATCCATACCAGATTTTTGTTCAATTTTGTTCAGGGCTATTGCTGAAAGTAATAATCCAGCAGCTGCCTACAATTACTTTAATATATACTCTAAAATAATTACTCTTATAATATTTTCCTTTTTAAAAATCTTCAGCTTTGAATCCACCACTCTAAAAAAATAAACAGGTTTGATTTTTGAGTTCTAAATGTTATATACAATTGTAAAAGAGTTCCTAGCAGTTGTACTTTTGGTAATGTCTAACTTTTATTTACATTTCTTCTCTTTTTAAAATTTTCAGCAAATCCTTGCTTACGACAGGATAAGTACACCAACTGCAATAGTTTAAAGGAAGAACATACCTGCCAGCATGATTTCGTCAGGACAAACTGCCCTGCTACTTGCTTCTGCCAAAATGAAATAATATAGTGGGCCTCCTATTCAATGTTTGTTATTTTTGCCAGAAAAAATCTTTAAATCATAGCATCTTTTAGTAATTGCGTGACATTTGATTTCATATATTTTGCATGAGTGTCCTATGAATGTCTAAGGGAAACGTAAGGGGTAGAGGCTAGGGATGAAAACCGTAAGTTCAAATAAGAAAAATCACAGGCCTGGATGACATCAAAAACGGGGCACACTGTAAGCTTGATTATAAGAAGATACTGAAGGCCTGAAAATAAGATCACCAAAATTCTTTGCACTCCAACTGTATTTAAGAATTTCTTAAATTCTTTTACTAAATCTAACCTAGAACTGCTTTGATGACATTCATTCAAACTATATGTCAGGTTTTGGTGCTTTTAATGTTTTAATCAGTTGTGGTTTGTAGTTTGTTATGATTTGATATGATTTTTAATTTTTGATTGGAGCCGCCCAGAGGTGATTTAAAGATGGGCAGCTTTATAAATGTTATAAATAATTAAATAAACAAATAATTAAATGAATTCTGTGGAAGAATGACTGGTCATTGTATTGTGTATATGTATCTATATATGTGTTTGTGTGTGTTTATAATTCGGTGCAACAATCTACCTAAATATTATTAAAAACGTAACTTTCATGAAGTGGTTCAATATCCCTGGTGAGACTCTTAAATCAGACATTCAACCAAAGGCCTACCTTAATGCAGCAAATGTTCTGCATATTTTTTACTACTTAAAACAAGAATTTTTACATTAAAAAACTACCTTGTAACGCAGAGCATAAACATCACAAATTCAATATCAGTTGGGAACAAACGTGAAAAGTAAAATCACCCTGTTGTTAGACTCAGCATCTACTGACAGTGGAGGTAGGTCTATGTCAGTAATGGCGAACCTTTTAGAGATTGTGTGCCAAAGGCCACTTATTTATCACAAAGTGCCAACACGGCAGTGCACACATGTGCACCCACTACCTGCGATGTTCCAGCTGCTCAGTGGAGCATCAGGCAGGCACCATATGCTACACGTGCATGTGCAGATGGCCCGTTTCCTACAAATACAGGAAAGGAATGAGGGCGGGGCCTCCAAAGCACCGTTCCAGTCCAGTGGCTGCTGCTTCCAGCAGGAACCGGTATGCGTGTATCGGGGCGAACCGCCTGCAACCCACCACTGCAACATGGCAATTTAACCTGAATACTGTGGTTTTAGTTTAGAAAAAACAACTCATATATTAACCTCTTTTGTCTTAAAAGAAAAACACAATAACAGAGCTTTCAATGATACAAATAACTTTTGATATTTTCAATTTTGGGCCCATCTTAACCATAATCCAGTCTCTGCTTCTGCAACTCCAGCTGCTTCAGGCTCTTCTCTACTCCCCTTACTTTCTGCCAGGATGAGGAGCCCACCCATGCCCACCAAGCCATTCCCACCAAGCCACACCCACCAAGCCATGCCACTCCGGAGGGTCTCCAGAGCCCATGGGAGGTGGTTTTCACCCTCAGAGTCTTGAGGAAAGCCTCTGGGACATGGGGAAGGTGAAAACAGCCCCCCTGCTGTGGTGCAGGAGGCCAAGAAGGCTACACCCATCATGCCCACGGCCACACACACACAGCAACTGGGCAGAGATCCCGTTGCTGAAATTTTTGAAGCTCACCCCTGGAAATATGTGTGTGTGTGTGTGTGTGTGTGTGTGTGTGTGTTTCATTTGTGCTGATAAATAAATAAATAAAGGGAGACTAGTAAAGATCTATTTCAAGCTATTAAGCTCTCATCAGCTAGCCACACCCTTACTAGGATTTGAACCTGTGCTGTATTACATATTATGTACTTATGTTAACCACTAAGCCACAAGGTTATCAGCTGAGCCAGGGAAGTAGGTATGTATTTACTGTCACAACCCCTGGTATGCCCAAATATGTGTATGTGTATGTGTATGTGTATGTGTATGTGTATGTGTATGTGTATGTGTATGTGTATGT